TTCTGATGTTCAGATCGAGTTCTAGGTCAAACTGGTTTGTTCGACTTTCAAGAAATTCGAGTTCTAGTGAGTTCGAGAACCGAGGTACCACTGTACCTGTTTGATGGCATCTTCCTTGCATGTGGTTTCTTTTTTTAACAGCTCTTTGCCATTTTAGATGTATTTTTTCATGGCATTCAAGCTGAATTCGAACACTGCCACTCAGTTTTCCCTACTCAGTGGGTGTGAGCACGGTGACTACCGCCTGCTGTGATGTCATGCACGTAGCCTTTGCAGTAGGGCAGGGGTGGACAATCTTCTACGCAAAGAGCCACTGTGTGTGTGGGTTTTCGCTGCAACTCCCTAATTATATTACTACTTAGAGGACTGATTGGCCGAGGAGTCCTCACACCTGGGTTTGAATAGCTGACCTGAAGGTTACCCCAAAAACCTGCATACACACCGGCCCTTTGCGGATAAGACTGGCCACTGCTGCAGTAGGGGGAGCGTAAGAACATCAGATAAGAGGGTGACTGTCTGCAGGTATTTCACGCTTTTAACAGCAACTAGTAGCAGTGATTTGCAGTCTTTGTAAAAAAGAATCTTTGAGAGGTAGGAGTAGCATTTAGTGGAAAATCCCCCTAAACAAAATGCAGGCAATTGTGCGAGACAATGCCTGTAATACGAAAAAAGCAATGGGTGATTTGAGAGTCACTAGCTTGGGCTTTTTTGCGCACGAGGGGCTGCTAATGCAACAAAGTGACACTGTGGCCAGTGGGAGAAACATTATGGGACATTTTAACCCTTGTACAATGAAAATAACAGAAGGTCTTACCCTGTATATTGTTCTTTGTGATTAAGCATAATGTATAATGCAAAGATCATTATACTTTCTGAGGTGGTACATGGTTGAAAAGTGTGTGAATTACTGCTTCAGATAGATTTAGATTGTCCGCAAGATGTTTTAAAATCATAATTAAAACCCACCTGCCAATCCATCTTTTTCCACAGACTTGGCACCCTTCACCTCCCAGGTCAGAAAGTTTTAACACTGGCTGTTCAGCATTTATATATATATATTTGGTGCTGCGTGTGTTCAGACTTCTTAGGCACAGCCATCAGTGGTGTGTCTGTCTGTGTGGAGAATGTCGACCTCATGGAGAGATTTACTTTCCTCGGCAGTGACATTCATGTCTCTGGTGACTCTTCCTATGAAGTCAGCAGATGGATTGGGAGAGCATGGGGGGTCATGAGGTCGCTGGAAAGGGGTGTGTGGCGCTCCAGATATCTTTGCAAGAGGACGAAGGTCTAAGTCTTTAGAGTCCTGCTGCTCCCTGACTTGCTGTATGGCTGTGAGACATGGACGCTATCCAGAGAGACTGGACTCCTTCAGTACTGTGTCTCTTCATAGAATCCTTGGGTATCACTGGTTTGACTTCGTGTTGAATGAGCGCTTGCTAGAGGAGTCCTGAATGAGGCACATTACCTGCATTGTGAGAGAGCATCAGTTACAGCACTGTGTCCTTGTTTCCTTGAGGGTGATCAAACCAAAGAATTATGTACCCATGTAGTTACATAGGGTAAATAAAATATCTTTCAGTTATTTCATTTTATAGTATGACGCCATCTGTCCTCTCTCTTTGTAAATCAAGAGTGGCATTTTGGAGAAAACCGGCTTTGCACTCTAAAAGGAATGGATGCCAGCATTTTGACATAAATTTGCTGAAAATTCTAAAAGGTTTTGAAATTTGGTGGTATAAGGTGATTAACTGCACTCGGATGGTCCCATGATATGTGTAATAAAGTCAAAACTATGAAGACTAGCAGTGGTTTATGCTTCGTTGTGGGGGTGGGTTACTTTTGCACGGTGAATGTGAGTAACACGTCCGATGGGTCTCCTTTGGCGATTGTCTTCATTTGATCAGTTAAACATGTTTACATCTGTGTGGTATTTTTCCTTCCCTGAGACCCTTGCTTCATGCGGCCGGTTTCTTTATCATCCTGCCCCCACAGAGTAGCCAGCTGTGCTGCTAAAAAAACAAAACCACACACACAGCTGGGAAGCTTGAGTCACAGCAGCAAAACATAATTAGGGCCACAAAAATGCACCATTCTGGGAGATGCAAGTAAGAACTGATCAGCATCACATTGCACATCGCTTGCTATGTTACCTGAATGGTGATTTGCTTTTTCAGCAGCGTAATTGGGATTTTAGGTTTAAGTATTGAAACTGCTTAAAATGTAACTCCTCCTCATATCCAGGACAAACCTTCCTCAATTAACCCAGCACACCAGCTCCATACTAATATCGACTGGCCTGTTCTGTCTAGATCACATCAGCTATCTTAGCTCAGTCGCTGGCAAATACTACCACTGTAGTTTGTGAAGATATGTTTGTCTTATTTGCTTAACAGAGCGAAGGTTGCTCTAAGTTTGGTGGCAAAATGGGCAACAGAGGGTGTTTTTTTCTGAAAGGACGTGTGTAAAAAGAAAAAGCATGGTGATCCAAGAATGTGAAAATACAGAAATGAAACTAACATCTGTTGAGCAGCACTGTGGGCTGGGTAGTACTATGAGCAGTGCTCTCATGTTTATTTAAAAGCTGCCCTTCCTGTGCACCTCATGGTTTCCTCACAGCTACTAATTCACCTGAAATTCTTAATCCCACTTCTGGCTTTTGGTAAATCCACCGGCTGATGGTGATATGGGGTTGTATGACATTCTCAACGTATTACATTTTTTCCCCTCTTTCTTTTCCTAATGGCTTGTTGTGTATATAATCTCAGTATGTAAGTATGTTTGTGTGTGTGTGTGTGTATGTATGTGTATACACACACATATATGTACTTGCATACTGAGATACATATATTTTTTCCTATATATAATTGTTTGTTTATTTATGCAAAACCACTTTCTTCCCCTTTTGCCCTTTTCCCCCTTGCAGTGTTTGACTACAGCTACAGGGATTATATCCTGCTTTGGTATGCACCGCTGAGCCAGGACCAGGAACAACTGTACCAGATACTTTCTGAGGACTTCTGGGAAATGACCAGGCAGCTGAGGAATCGCGTAGCTGACATCGACATGGTCAATGTGGTGTGCAACGACACCGTGAAGGCCCTACATGCCCACGTCTGTGACCTCAAAGCTGCTAACACCAGGTGGGACACTCAGGAGAGGGTGCTGATCCTCGGCTCGGTGACTGAATGGCCCTGTGGTTTGCTAGCAGGTTCAAATAAACTACTCTTGATGACAGATATGTATTATATAAAAAAATATAATGCACAAATCGGAAACACTTAAGGCCATGATTTTAGTAATTCATAAACACATTCTCCTGGAGCCGACACCTTATCGTGGTGGAGGGCTTTGCGTGTTCCAATGATCCCAGGAGCTAAGTTGCCCAGGGCTTTATGCCCCTGGTAGGGTCACCCAAGGCAAACAGGTCCTGGGTGAGGAACCAGACAAAGTGCGGCTCATCAGACCCCTTATGATGAGAAACAACATGGATACACGTTTTCCCTCACCCGGACGCGGGTCACCGGGGCCCCCTCCTGGAGCCAGGCCTGGGGGTGGGGCTCGATGGCGAGCGCCTGGTGGCCAGGCTTGCACCCATGGGGCCTGGTTGGGCACAGCCCAAAGAAGGCAAGTGGGTCCCCCCTCCAATGGGCTCACCACCTGTAGGAGGGGCCATAGGGGTCGGGTGCAGTGTGAGTTGGGTAGTGGCCGAATGTGGGGACCTTGGCGGTCCGGTCCTCGGCTGCAGAAGCTAGCTCTAGGGAGATGGAATGTCACCTCTCTGGAGGAGAACGAGCCTGAGCTGATGTGCAAGGTTGTGAGGTTCCGACTAGATATAGTCGGACTCACTTCGACGCATGGCTTGGGCTCTGGAACCAGTCTCCTCGAAGGGGGTTGGACCCTCTTCCACTCTGGAGTTGCTTGCAGGGAGAGGCGCCGAGCCGGGGTGGGCATACTTATTGCCCCCTGGCTGGGCGCCTTTACATTGGGGTTTACCGCAGTGGACGAGAGGGTAGCCTCCCTTCGCCTTCGGGTGGGGGGACGGGTCCTGACTGTTGTTTGCGCTTATGCACCAAATGGCAGTTCAGAATACCCACCCTTTTTGGAGTCCTTGGAAGGGGTGTTGGAGAGCGCTCCTCCTGGGGACTCTATTGTTCTGCTGGGGGACTTCAATGCTCACGTGGGCAATGATAGTGAGACCTGGAGTGGCGTGATTGGGAGGAACGGCCCCCCCGATCTGAACCTGAGCTGTGTTTTGTTATTGGACTTCTGTGCTCATCACGGATTGTCCATAATGAACACCATGTTCAAACATAAGGGTGTCCATATGTACACTTGGCACCAGGACACCCTATGCCGTAGTTTGATGATCGACTTTGTGGACACCAGTGGTTTGGGATGCCGTCAAGTCCTATCGGGCCTTTTTAGCCTGTGGGACTCCAGAGGCAGCTGTCAGATACCGGCAGGCCAAGCGGGATGCAGCTTTGGCGGTCACTGAGGCAAAAACTCGGGTGTGGGAGGAGTTTGGTGAGGCCATGGAGAACGACTTCCAGACGGCTTCGAGGAGATTCTGGTCCACCATCCGGTGGCGCAGGGCGGGAAAGCGGCGCAGCATCAACACTGTCTATGGTGGGGATGGGGTGCTGCTGACCTCAACTCGGGACGTTTTAGGTTGGTGGAAGGAATACTTCGAAGACCTCCTCAATCCCACTGATGCCTTCCAATGAGGAAGCAGAGCCTGGGGACGAGGGGGTGGACTCCCCTATCTCTGGGGCGGAGGTTGCTGAGGTAGTTAAAAAGCTCCTCAGTGGCCGGGTCCCGGGAGTGGATGAGATCCGCCCGGAGTTCCTTAAGGCTCTGGATGCTGCAGGGCTATCCTGGTTGACACGCATCTGCAGCATCGCGTGGACATCGGGGGCAGTGCCTCTGGACTGGAAGACCAGGGTGGTGGTACCCCTCTTTAAGAAGGGGGACCGGAGGGTGTCTTCCAACTATACGGGGATCACACTCCTCAGCCTCCCTGGTAAGGTCTATTCGGGGGTCCTGGAGAGGAGGGTCCGTCGAATTGTCGAACCTCGGATTCAGGAGGAGCAGTGTGGTTTTCACCCTGGCCGTGGAACAGTGGACCAGCTCTATACTCTCGGCAGGGTCCTGGAGGATGCGTGGGAGTTTGCCCAACCAGTCTACATGTGCTTTGTGGATTTGGAGAAGGAATTCGACCGCGTCCCTCGGGGAGTCCTGTGGGGGGTGCTCCGGGAGTATGGGGTGCCGGACTGCCTTATAAGGGCTGTTCGGTCCCTGTATGACCGGTGTCAGCAGTAAGTCGGACTTGTTTCCGGTGAGGGTTGGACTCCGCCAGGGCTGCCCTTTGTCATCGATTGTGTTCATAGTTTTTATGGACAGAATTTCTAGGCGCAGCCAGGGCGTTGAGGGTGTCTAGTTTGGTGACCTCAGGATTAGGCCTCTGCTTTTTGCAGATGATGTGGTTCTGTTGGCTTCATTGGACCGTGACCTTCGGCTCTCACTAGAGCAGTTCGCAGCCGAGTGTGAAGCGACTGGGATGAGAATCAGCACCTCCAAATCTGAAATCATGGTCCTCAGCCAGAAAAGGGTGGAATGCTCTATAGATACCTTTATAATGCAGTACACAGCATCCTTAATGCTTATGCCGACCATTATAATGCATTATTAAGGTATCTACTGTATAGTGTATTATAGATGAGAGCTTCATGATGCATAATAAATATGCATAAAATATATTGTGCCTTTTTATGAATACAGTGGTATTTCGGTTCTCAAACTTAATCCGTTCCGGACTCTGGATCGAATCCTGAAAAGTTTGAGTTCTGATCGAATTGGAAAACCAATTAATTGGTTCCTTGCCAAAAAAATTACACAAAAAAATGTTTTTTTTTTTTTTTTTTTTTTT